TCTCTCTCTCTCTCTCTCTCTCTCTCTCTCTCTCTCTCTTGTGCACGCACAGGTGCAAGCATTACAATTGAAGTTCACCCATTGTTATCATTCAGTTGAGAGGCTTTGAGTTTGTGAAAGCGGTTACCTTGGTGCCTGAACCATTCACTTTTGAGAATGGGCTCCTAACCCCAACACTTAAGGTAAGCATTTCCTGCCCCTCCTTGTGAGACTTCAGAAATACAAACAAACAATAAGAAGAAGAAATAGAAGGGTATTCAAAAGAAAAGAAAATCTAAAGGGCCCTTCTATGTTTCTCTTTGATAGGTTAAGAGGCCACAAGCTAAGGCTTATTTTGCGAAGGTCATATCCGACATGTATGCTGAGCTTTCCAAGGTGGAGTCATCACCTCAAAAAGCTTCCCTTTAATGAACGAGAGGGGCCTGGTATTCTTACAAAATTATGGATATATAAATTGGTCCATTTCACGTAATGCAAAAAAAAGCCTTTTTGAATCCTTTTATTAGTATATGATCAAGAGAGAAGGAAAAAAGAAAGAAAGCGAGTCTTTCCAAACTAGGAAGAGGAGATGAAAGCGAGTATCCTTCAAATTATTTCCCTCCACCCATCTGTACAAGGACGGGTTACTTTTCTAGGTTTCCTTGGCATAAAGGGTTTAAACGCCCTAATTATTTCAGGAATGTAAAGGCCGTCTTGGCTTAAAATCAAATAAAGGTGGCCTTTTCAATATGTAGGTTGTCCTATAAATTTATAGACTTATTTGGACTTATCTAGCAATAGCGCTACGACAATATGTTACTGTTGCTTTTACTTTATTCTAATGGATTTCATATCTACTCGGTAAAAGTGATTGATTTTTTTGTACTAAAAATAAATGGTTGTTTAGTGTATAATCTTGAAATGGAAATATACACAATGAGACCATTTATTTTTTCTATAAGGAGGGCACATTTATCGTTAACCACTAGATTTGAAATCGGGCGGTTGATGATGTGCCATTGTTTAGGCTCAAAGTCAAAAATAAAAATTTTCGAATGTTGTGATGCATTTTATTCTATTAGATTTCACTTCCAATGGTTAAAAGTGATAGTGATCTTTTTGTACTAAAAATAAATGGTCTCATAGTATATAATTTAGAAATAGAAATGTATACAATGAAACTATTTACTTTTAATATAGGGAAGTCACAATCATCATTAACCGTTAGATTTGAAATCGGTTGGTTGAATATGTGTTGTTTATTAGGCTCAAGGTCCAAAACTAAAAATTTGTTGGATGTTGTGACACATTTTATTCTATTCGATATCACATCCAATGGCGGCTAAAAGTAATAGTGATCTCCTTATACTAAAAATAAAAGATCCGGTTTTTATAAGTTCCTTGAGTCATATTATTTCCATGCGGGTTCCCTTAAACCCTCATTATTTGTATCGGTCTTGGATCCAAATTTGTAGTGATCCATGTCTACACTATGATGATCATGAATATAAAAAATAAAATAAAATAAAATAAAATTTTAGAACATTTTTATTAGAATGTTTTTCTATCCATTGGATAGGAATCTTTAGTTGTGGATGTTGATCTTAAAAATGGATGTTTGTGATTGTGTGGGCTAGTGAGTCCGTTGACTCACAAAACAATTTTCAAAGATAAATGATCTCATAGTATACAATCCCTCTAGAAATTTGTTTCTTTCAGAGATGGATGTAGTTCGCTTTGCCTGGTGGTAGACATCAGTTTGCGTGGGGGAGTTCGACAGTGGAACCCTTGAAGCTTGTCCCAAGAAATCCAAACAATTTTTTTTAATGAAAGAAAAAGCTGAGTGCCCTTTATGAAAAGGTTCCATGGGGGTCACTCTCTTATTGTAAACAAGAGAATTGGAAAATAATAACTTGTGCTTATGGTGGAGTCTAAAAAGCTTATGGCCTAGATTGTAATTGGACTTTTATCATTATCAGGGGTTAATTATTTGGGGTGGTTAAATGAATTTTGGCCGTCATTTTGTTTTATCAAGGGTTATACTTCTGGTCAGGCCATGAGTCTGTATTTTCTCTCAATATTTTCAACAATGTCCTTTTGGGTCGACTCCTTACCTTTTATCCGCCTTCTATTTGAGCCGATTTGTACTTTCTAACAAGTATTGTATTGGTTTAATGCTGCACATGGTTAGCACACTTAAGTTTATTTTCTCTCGATCCTGACCTAGATTGAAGATTTTTAAAGCACTAACTTAAATTGAAGATGTATAAAATTTAGAAAAAATTACAAAAAACCCCCAAAGCCTATACTTTTCATGCAACTTACCCCCATTCTAACTTTTTCTCTCATTTTTTTCCCAACATAAACTTTCTATGCAAATACCTCCCCGAAGCAAAAAGTTCATTTTTTTAGATGGGAATGCTCTTCCCATACACAAAAATCAATTTGGTCAGATTTGACATTGACTTTTGGACCTCAGTAGCACATTGCCGGAGCGCACCATCACATTGTGACACCCAATATTCCAAAAATTGCACTGTCGGACTGCACTTACACAGTGCCGGAGCCCTGTGACTCCAGAGTGTTCCACGGCCGGATTGCATTTACATAGTACTGGAGCCTTGTGACTCCAAAGTGTTCCACTGCCGGACTGCACTTACACAATACCGGAGTGCTGTTATTCCATAAACTCTTTCTTCTGGACTGCCCTCATAGATTGCCGACCCTTTTCTCTCTCTCTACCCCTCAACCTTCTTTTTTTTTTTTTGCTTTTGGGTGGTGTTATATATTAGCTAATAATAAGGAGAACCAGAGAGAGCTCAAGCCGGGAGAGAGCGCAAGGAAGAGGGAGGGAGCTTGGGCCGTGAGTGCATATGTGGACTGTGGGTCTTCTTAGAGTAATTTTTTAGGTTTTGTGGGGAATGGTAGAGAGAGAGAGGCGTGGGTAAAAAGTAAAGGGTAAAGCAAGGGAGGTGAGAGGTAAAGGGTAAAGTAAGGATAGTTTTGCCTTTTTTTTTAATTTTGGAATGGTTGGGGGATATTGGCTAGACAACATTGTTTGGAGGAAAAAGTGAAAGGAAAAGACTAGTAGGGGATAAGTTGCATGACAAGTATGGTCTTGGGGGTTATATGTAGTTTCCCTAAATTTTAATTTGTGTATTAAATGACCATGGGATATATCATATTTAAAAAAAAAAAAGAAGTTTATATAAGGTGTCAACCTTAAGCTATAGAAGGTGTACCTCAAAAGTCCACCTGAAAAGGTTGATGTTGTAAGACCCTAAAATTGATCATCATGATCTCGAGATATATGGATATAGAAAAAAAATGGAATTCAAGTACTAAAACTAATGCATCTTGTAACACCATATCAAAACCGTCTATTTTCAAAATTTGATTGGACTTCCTAAACCCTAAAATTGATACTCTCGATCTTGAGATGTATAGATGTGAAAAAAAAAAAGAAAAAAGATTTCAAGTCCTTAAACTATTGCATCTTGTAACACCTTATCTAAATCGTGTACATTAAAAAAAAATTAAATATTTATGGATCTGCTTAATTTGCACTACTTTTAAAACTTTAAATTTCATAATTAGGAGCCGAAATAGATTCTAGGCTATCGTAAGGGTTTCCATTACTAGAATTGCTTTTATTAACAAGATTCAGGGATGCACCGTGCTTTGATTATTTAAGGTTGAGACTTGATATACAAACCGCAGCCAATAACAAAATTGGTTAACAATTTTAACTATCTTTTGTGTTCTTTATATTTATTATAAGGAAAACGTTTGTATAAGGATGCAACCTTATAATGTAGAACTACATATGCCCCTCAAAAATCCATCGGAAAAGGTCGTTTTCATGTTGAAAAACCGTTTGATTGATTATCTCGACATCGACATGTATGATTATGAAAAATAAAAAGATTTTACGTCTCATAAATAGTGCATTTTACAACATATTATCTACACCGTCCAGTTTCAAGATTTTCATATGTTTATAGATCTACTTGATTTTGACCTTTTTATAAATTTAAAATTTTATAATTAGATATACAAATAGATTTTGAGATAATTCTAAAAACATTTTACTTCAAAATTATATACCATGATAAAATTTGAAGGTATACCTTACCTCTACACCTATGATTTGCATCCGTATGCCAACTGCACCCTTATTATAATTCTTTTTCAACGTAATAAGCTGAATTTTTATTTTAGTAATGTGCTGTGTTGGCGTGCATCCCCCTCCATTCACTATTCTATCATCTTAGTGTGGAAACTTGAAAGGCATTGACCTCTTGTTTGTGTTGGAGTTTGGAACAAGGTAAATTTCCGGTAGTAAATTACTTTTTATTTGGCCAAAATATTGTAAAAGAAGCCTATAAAACCCTTGTTTGATGGACTTCAAAACATAATGGGTGCATAGATATTTTGTGGGGCTGGGGCTTATGAAAATGCACCTTGAATCTTCATGAAAACTGCATAAAACTTGCAAATTGATCTTCATCGCAATCATAGATCTGAAAAAATGGAGCTTGGCTCTAACAATGGTCAATCTTCCAACACGTTTTTCTTGTACTCATTAGATTTGTATAGAGCTTTAAATTCTATAGTTTGGGGCTGAAACATATTTGGAGATCATTACAAGAACGGTGTGGTTTGTATAGAGCCTAGGCTCTAAACAATCAAATTCGAGCCTTTCTTCAAAATAGTGTCGAGCAATATGGTTTCAATATTGGAAATGTTTGTGATAGCCTTAAAGTATATTTTTATATCTGTTTATAAAGTTTAAAGCTTAAAAAATAGTGTTGATCGACATATCTATAAAAACTTGAAAATCTTGAAAATTGACGATCCAGAAATGCATTACAAAATACACTATTTTCAAAACTTGAAATCATGCATCTTGATGTCAAGATGATCGATTTGAAGATATTTGAGCGTCAAAACAACCTCTTCTAGTGATTTTTGAAGTAGGTTTAGATTGTTTAGAGCCAGGACTCTACATAAACTTTCCCTTACAAGAATTTCCAACTTTCCAGCTATATAGTTTTGAAGTGCAGCCTTCTCAATTATAGAGCGGCATCACCATTTTATCAAGATTGGATAGGAGGGATCGGAGTGCGGCCTTCTGAATTATAGAGCGGCATCACCATTTTATCAAGATTGGATAGGAGGGATCGGCTGGAGTTGACAAGTCAAACTCTTGATTGGTGACGGCTGAAGTAAAAATCACATTTGGTCGAGAACTAGCCAAGACCAATATTTGACCCATTGGATTGGGTAGTTTTGACTGGGTAGATCAGTTTAATAAAGTTAGGTAATTTTTAACATATTTTATATTTTAAAATCATTTGTTTACTTTCTTTATATTTTTTTAAAAATTTGGTCAAACTGTTTCAACAAGTGATTTAAAAAACGGCAGGTTGGCATGCAATTGCTCTGTCCGGCTCGAGAATTGGTTACAGCGTGCTGATTTTATAAATATATAGAAAATCGTCTGGCTCTAGAAGAGAACCAGCGATTTGCTACAGTAAATAGGCTGATTCATTGATCCAGACAGATTTTTGACCAATTGATTATTTTCGCACGTATTTTTCGCCAGTTCACTATTTTTTCCTCACAATAAAACAACGTTTAGGACCACCGATTCATTGATTTGGACCGGTTTTTACGATGCCTGATCCAAGTCAAAGATCTGTTTTCTAAATCACTAGTTTCAATTAACAGTTAAACTGATTTAACGGAACTAGACCCTTCACCAATTTAGTGGCTACTCCTATCCTTTTAACGTTGTAGGGCCCATGAAAACCACATCTAAACATAATTCTTGAACTCGGAAATCATATC